TCTAATGTGCCTATCTCCTAAAGCGTTTCTCTTATTCACACTTGATTTTCTAAAGCACTACAGATACATACCATGTAGCTTTCTTAACTGTATGAATCAACTCCTTGAGTTGCTTAAGAGTTTTGATAGATTAATATTGCACAAAGGGTTTTAAATTTTTAAAACAGATTTACTTGCCAGAACATTTTAAGCATATTTCAAAAAATGTTTTTAAGTGCTTATGCTATTATAAAAGGGCACTGGCATCTTTTCTTCCTTGCTTCCTTCCTCTTTTTCTTTCGTCCTTCCTTTCAGTCAACAAGCATTTATTGAAGCCTTACTGTGTGCTAGGTACACTTTTAGCCATTGAAGATACTACTACCATGACCAATGTCTTATGGGGAATTAAATTCTAGTGGGAGGAGGGAAGAGTTCAGACTAAATAAATAAATAGTGTATTAGTAAGTGATGAGAGCTATGGAGAAAACTAAGGGGGATAAGACATTCTGGGAAAATCACATTATAAAGAAGAATTATGAAGTCATTTCCAAGAGTTCAAAATGGTAATGTTTATTTTGCTTGTTTCTATTGAGACTTGAAAAATATATGTATCATAAGCCAACAGGTTGGTGAACAAACATTATTATCTGGAAACTACGATGAGAAATAACAGACATAAAGCTTAGAAATCACCTTGGAAATAACTATCAGCCACAGATAATTAAAGCAGCACATTTCCTATAGAAGCTATTCTGAATATTCACAGTGACAAGTTCAGGCCCCTTTCCTTTTAAATAAAGTAAATTCACTGTCAAACCCCTAGATTATATTTTATTATATCTAATAGAACTTATTTTTATTAAGCATGAACATTTAAAATCAGAAGGAACATGTTTCTAACTAGGAAATTTTTCCTTTAGATATTTTCTGCCTAATATTACTTACTTAACACAACCTGTTACACTGTATATAATCTTCAACTCTGCAGATGATTGCATCTCCTTTATACTGCCTGTCTATAATTTTAAACAATTACTACAGTACACTCCAGGGACTATATGTGCTATATAAATGGATTCTGTCTCTTTCTCCAGCCTTGAAGCTGGGCAAATGCAGACCTTGTAGGCCTGCAGGGTGCAGCCCAACAGGTTCTCAGGTGTTTATCACTTTATTTTAATTTTGTAGTATTTTTCCTCAAGGAAAAGGATTAGAGAGAATATACCTGTTCCTTACACAAGACTGGGAGGAGTGCCTGTTCCTGAAAGCCAAACTAAAAAACCTCACAATTCACAGAGTATCTGGTAGAGTCTAGCCTCCGTAGTGGGAAATAATTAGCTCTAGACTAAACACTGCTCAGGTTTTGCCAATAAATCTAAAAAGCAAGACTCAAAGGAACCAAATTATTTTTTAGTAACTTGACAGTACCCTAGAGTAAGAATACTTAACAGGAAGACAAAAGTATCTAGTACTAAACAAGGTAAAATTCATGTGTGATACTGAATCACAAATTATTAGACATGCAAAAAAGTAGGAAAAAATATAAATGAGGAAGAAGAAGAAAATTCAATCAACCAGACCCAGAACTGACAGAGAGGACTGAATTAGAGACAAGGGCATTTCCATTCCAGTCGCACTCCCTAGAGTTATACTCTCTTAATATCTGTGTGATTTGCTGGGATGAAGTTTACCTTATACAATTTCTACTAAAAATGTGCTAAATCAACCAATAGTAAACAATATTGGGAGATGTAATGGTTAAAGGTTTGAAATATTTCAAGTATCCTAAGGTTATTTCTTTGGTATGTTCCTACCACATTGAGAGAAAAAAATATTCAAAATGCCAATTAAGTTTACTCATTAAAGAAAGAAAATAAAATACTGTCTACGGGGCTTCCCTGGTGGCGCAGTGGTTAAGAATCCGCCTGCCAACGCAGGGGACATGGGTTCAAGCCCTGGTCCTGGAAGATCCCACATGCCGTGGAGCAACTAAGCCAGTGCGCCACAACTACTGAGCCTGTGCTCTAGAGCTCAGGAGCCACAACTACTGAGCCTGTGTGCCACAACTACTGAAGCCCGTGCACCTCGAGTCCGTGCTCTGCAACAAGAGAAGCCACCGCAATGAGAAGCCCCCGCAATGAGAAGCCCGCACACCGCAACAAAGAGTAGCCCCTGCTCGCTGCAACTAGAGAAAGCACACATGCAGCAACCAAGACCCAACGCAGCCAAAAATAAATTAATTAAATAAAATTTTTTTAAAAAGAGAGTAGGAATATACCAATCTAAAAAAAAAAAATACTGTCTACAACAACTCCAAGGTTTTGTAAAGGCTTTGAAGTGATAAAGTAAAATTTTAATGAATGCTTGAAAACAGCAACAATGAGCTTTTACATTGCTTTCTTTTATTCTAAAAACTGAGGTTTTAATGAATTTTGTAATTATGCTTATATATTTCGTAGGTCAGTTTACATCTTTGTGTTTTCCTACTGGTATGTGAGTAAATGTATTCCACAACTGGCTTATAGTGTGAAAGTTAAATATTAAAGAAAACTTCATCATAACTGGTTTCATGAAAAACCATTACTTTCATACATGGAGTAAGAAACTATTGAAAGGCTGTATTTATATAATACTATATTTGAATATTTGAAAAACTACCTCCTAAAACTGATAAATCAGACATTTTTCAAAACTAAAAACTTTCGTCATTTGGAAGATACTGTAAGAAAATGTAAAGGCAAACCACAGACAGGGGACTATATTTGTAAAACATACATCTGAGAAAGGACTTGGAATCAGATATATAAGGATATTTTAAGACTCAATAATAAGAGGACAAGCAATAAGCTAAAAAAATTAAATAAAACTAAAAAGTCAGTCACTTTGACGAACACTTAACCAAAGAAGATATACAGATGGGAAATAAACCTATGAAAATCTAGTCATTACTAGTCTTTACACTAGTGAAGTTAAAACCACAATGAAATTTCACTGAACACTCACAAGAATGGCTAAAATTAAAATGACAGGGCTTCCCTGGTGGCACAGTGGTTGGGAGTCCACCTGCCGATGCAGGGAACGCGGGTTCGTGTCCCGGTCTGGGAGGATCCCACATGCCGCGGAGCGGCTGGGCCCATGGGCCATGGCCGCTGGGCCCGCGCGTCCGGAGCCTGTGCTCCGCGGCGGGAGGGGCCGCAGCGGTGAGAGGCCCGCGTACCGCAAAAAAAAAAAAAAAAAAAAAAAAAGACAATATCACGGATTGATGAAAATATAGAAGAATTATCATACATTGTTGATGGGGATGAAAAATGGTACATCTATCTTGGGAAACAGTTCAGCAGTTTTTTAAAGTTAAACATATACTTATCAAATGATCAGGAAATTCCACTCTACGTGTTTACCCAAGAGAATTAAGACATATGTCTACAAAAGACCTGTATGTAAATGACTGTAGTAGCTTTATTCATAATAACCCCAAACTGTAATAAACCAGTTATTCCCCCAACTGGAGAATAGATAAATTGTGTATATCTACACAATGAAATTCTAATCAGCAATAAAAAGAAATGGACTACTGGTACATGCAACAACATGAATAAACCTTAAAACCTTAAAATAACTACGTTGCTATACAAGAACTCATACTGCATGATTCCAGTTTTATGAAAATCTAGGAAAAGCTAACTTATACAGACAGAAAGCTTATCATTAGCTGCCAGAGGTAGGAATAGGAGATTAACTATAAGAGTACACTAGGGACATGGGGGTGGGGTGTTGGTGATAGAAATGTTCTATATCTTTTTTTTTTTTTGCGGTACGCGGGCCCCTCACCGCTGTGGCCTCTCCCGTTGCGGAGCACAGGCTCCGGGCGTGCAGGCTCAGCAGCCATGGCTCACGGGCATGGCTCTCCGCGGCATGTGGGATCCACTCCGACCGGGGCACGAACCCGCGTCCCCTGCATCGGCAGGCGGACTCTCAACCACTGCGCCACCAGGGAAGCCCTGTTCTATATCTTAATTGTGATGGTGGTTATAAGGATGTAAACATCTGTCAAAAATTCATAGAATTTTCTGCTCAAAGTTGGTGAATTTTATATATGTAAATTACATCTCAAAAAAGCTGCCCAAAACAGATACCTAAAGCAGGGAGGAGAAGCACAGTATTCTTTGAGTAGGGTGATTTGTAGAAGTAAATAGAATGAATCAGTCCTAAATAAACCCTCTGCTTAAGTTCTGTCTGGGCACACACGAATGAAGACCTTCTCTGTGGTCACTGCCTTGCTGCACACTCCTTTAGAAGTAGAAGTAGGGAAGCAAGGCAGTGTGGTTAATTCATTCTGGAGTTGTCAGGGACTAAATAATGTTTACATTACTAGGTACTTTCAGTAAATGTGAATAACAACTACATACAAACTCTCAAAACACTTTTAAAAGGCCTAGGTACATTCAATGCTCTTACATTCAGTGATTAGACAAAAACACTTATATGATATTAGCTAGTTTGTATACTTCATTGTTTAGAACTACCCTGTGCCATTATTTCATGACAAAAACAAACTAAGAAAAATTTGTTGGATTATATTTGGTTAAGCAACTTTTAATTCATGATGTGGGTATTTCAGCTGTTCATTCATCAAATCTTCATTTTAACAATAAAGGAAAAGCTATAAGGTCTCTGCCTTTTAGTATCTCTTTGTTAGGAATTAAAATACTCTACAAGCTTTAACTAAATTCTTCAACATCAATCACCCTTTACATAGGAAAAATTCAGGTTCCTCTGACTGAATTATGGAGAATTAACTTATTCTTCTGGAGCATTTTATTTCACATCCTAAGTATTTTAAAAGTGTAAAAAAAGAATTTATTGCTTATATAACTGAATATATAGGTAACATAAGAAATGACAATTAGCCAGAAGTTTTTAAAAGATGTTTTATAAACTAATAGAGCAAAACTTCTTGATATTAAATTTTAAAGTAACTGAAAAACTGTGAAATCAACTTGCAAAATAAATACTGTACTTACAGTTTGTTGCTGTCTGAAACTGAGAAGAAAGTGCCTGAGTAACTGAATTCCAAAACGTGTATAAAATTTCAGCATGTCCATCCTATGACCCAAAAAAAGGGGATGTATTATTTTTTTTTAATTACAATGGATAAGACATAGCATCGAAAAAGTATTAAAAATGTATTTAAGTGTATCGAACAATGGAATTATTAAGTAACTAAGTAGAAATATATAGATGAGTCAAATCATGTCTCATGTCATCATCCTTCTCTGCTACATACTAGCTGTGTGAGCTTGGGCAAGTTGCTAAATCATTCTGTGCCTCCCTGCCCTCTGTAAAATGGAGATAACAGTACCCACACTGCAGGATTATTACAAGGATTTTAAAAGTTTATTAAAGTAAACTCTTGGGACAGTTCTTGACATATAATAAATCTTCAGTGAATGTTATTATTATTACAATTATTATCATCATCATTTTATATACAGAAGGCAATTTTTGTTACCATAAGAAAATGAAGAACAAGCATGCTTAGACCAAGAGTGACCACCAAGATACAATTCACCAATTACGAAAGAGAACTGCCTGAAGTATAGACACAATTTTGTTTTTGTTTTTTTAAGTCACAGGAATTCCTATTACTCAGCTTAGCAGCATACTGTCACTCAACTATTAATACATATTTTAGAAAGTAATTACTAAAAGGAAAAGATAAATATTAGTTTAAGTGTCATTTGTTAAAACCGGACAAAGTATTTTAATACTGTTAAAAGAAAATGACACTTACAGAAATTTTACCAAGCTCTTTAAGGTACTTCTACATGTGTGATAATATTATATCAAATTGCCGTTATTCTATTTTTGAAGTACAACAATGCCAATTACACATGGTTCACCCTAGTAACATAAATATGTATAATGTTCAAATATGACTACTGTCATAAAAAAGAATAATTAGGAAATTCATTCATTCTGCTTTAGTTTTGTACTTGCAAAGAATGAAATTCTACTTTTCAAGGTTATAAGAAAGACAATGAGCAATGAAAAATACTGATTTCTCATTTTTATGCCTATGCACATATCTATTTTCCTTGTTATTTGTTTCTTTAATAAGTTTTGTTTTGAATTCAAATGGATATTGTGTATCATAAAAAGGCAAATCAAATAATTGCTAATTTCTTATGCAGTGATCACAAAATAGATTCAGATTACCAAGATTTTATGCAATATGTGTATTGTATATCATACACTTTAAAGTGGATGTTTTTCCAACAAGGACCTACAGCACAGAGAACTATATTCAATATCTTGTAATAACTTGCAATGGGAAAGAATCTAAAAAAGAATATATATACATATATAAATAAATGAGTCACTTTGCTGTACTGAATCTAACACAACATTGTTAATCAATTATACTTTAGTAAAAAAAATAAAGTGAATGTTTTTCATCATATTAAAGAACCATTTTAATACATCACATTAACAAAATGAAGGACAAAACCACGATTATCTCAACTGATGCACAAAAATGCATTTGACAAAATTCAACACACTTTCATGATACAACCACTCAACAAGCTAGGAACAAGCTAGGTAATTACCTCAATACATTAAAGGTCATATATGAAAAGTCTACAGATAACAACATAATGGTAAAAATCTGAAAGATGTCTAAGATGCAGGAAATTTGGTGACTATATATGCTTCTACATACACACACATACATACACTTTAAAAAGTAAACTTGGGTCAATCTTGCTTAAGCATACAAATACAAAATTCTCACATATAATAGCAAATTGATTTCAGTATTTGAATTATCTACCTCAACAAGTAGGATTTATGTCAGCAAGGTACCTATCATTAAATATTAGGAAATATATTAATATAAGAGCCCAATGTCTCCAGAAGGAAATCTACAGGATCATTTAGCTGAGTTAATAAAAGGCAATTAATACCCTTTAATTAACAAAATAATACCCAGTCCTCATATGTTTTAAGTTCATAGAAAACAATGCATGAAACGATTCTTATACTTTTAAAATTATGATAAAAATCACAAAATTTACCATCTTTACTGCTTTTAAGTGTACAGCAGTGTTAACTCTATGTACCTTGATGTGCAAAAGATCTCTGGAACTTTCTCATCTTGTAAAACTGAAACTCTAAACCCATTGAGCAACAACTCCCATTTTCTTTCTCCCCCCAGCCCTTGGAAACTACCTATCTACTTTCTGTTTCTAAGAATGTGACTACTTGAGATACCTCATGTGAGTGGAATTATACAATATTTGTTTTTTTGTGTGACTAGATTATTTCATTTAGCATGATGTCCTTAAGTTTCATCCATCTTTAGCATGTAACAGAATTTCCTTCTTTTTTAAAGACTTAATAATATTCCATTGCATGTATGTATATACGTGTGTGTCTGTGTATCACATTTTCTTTATCCCTTCATCCATCGTCAGACACTTGGATCGCTTCTATCACTTGGCTATTATGAATAATGCTGCAATGAACATGGCTGGGCAAATCTCTCTTCAAGATCCTGTTTTCAATTCTTTTGGATATACTGTGTATCTCCAGAAGTGAGATCGCTGGATCATACATTAATTCTGTTTTTAATTTTTTTGAGGAACCTCCACAGTTTTTCTTAGCAACCGCATGATTTCACATTTCTATTAACAATATACAAGGGTTCCAATTTCTCCACGTCCTCACCAACACCTGTTTTCTGTTTTGGAAATAGTCATCCTAATGAGTACAGGGATATCTCTTTATGATTCTGATTTGTACTTCCTGATGATTAGTGGTATTGATCATCTTTTAATATGCTTGTTGGTCATTTGTATGTCTTCTTCAGACAAATATCTATTCAAGTCCTTCACACATTTTTTTAGTTGAGTTGGGTGGTTTGTTGTTGTTGAGTTGTAGGAGTTCTTTGTATATTATGGACATCAACCCCTTACCAGATATATAGTTTGCAAATATTGTCTCTCATTCTGTAGGTTGCCTTTTCATTCTGTTAATTGTTTCCTTTGTCACACAGAAGTTTTGAAGTTTGGTGTAGTCCCATTTGTCAATTTCACTTTTTGTTGCCTGTGATTTTGTGTCATATCCATGAAATCACTGCCAAGTCCAATGTCATGAAGATTTCCCAATTTTCTACTCTGAATTTTATAATTTTAGGTCTTACATTTAGGGCTTTAATTCATTTTGAATTTTTGAATACGGTTTAAGGTAAGGGTCCAATTTCTTTCGTTCACACATGAATATCCAGTTTTTCCAGCATCATTTGTTGAAGAGACTGGTAATATAAAGTTTGTGTGACCCTTTTTATTCTATATACCATTATTTGTCTTATTTTATCTGAAATTAATACTGTCGCTATTGCTTTCACTTGAGAAATGTTTATCAGTCTATTTATTTTTATTCTTGTCATGTCACTGTTTTTTGACTCTTATAAACAAAGTATTCTATTTTTAAACACTGTTTTACCTTTTAATAAGAAATTATAAACCAAATATGTTTAATTAATAGGTTGTTTCTGCTTTTATCATCTCATTTTATGCTTTCTTTGTGTTTTCTTTGTTCTGTGGATGATTTTTGTTAGCTTTTATCTTCTCTAGAGGCTTTTTCTTTTATTTCTTTTGGATGTGTCATTATCTATTCCTACAACTAACCATAAATTCCTTTGATGCAAATCATCTTTGTAATTCACAGAATTACTGAAACAGATTTCTAGAAATAACAGGAATTCTTCAAGGCTTTTTAGAATTGCCAAAGTAAACAAGAAAATTCTAACTCCTAGACATGACCTTTTGAAAGAAAACATAGGGTCCCAGATAATCTGGCTACTTCTTCCTTTTTAGTGACAAGTCACTCAAAACTTCTAAGCCAAGAAGTATGTACTTTTAACTTAATCAGAGAAGAACTCAGACAAAGTGTCCATGCGTTAGAATGTATGTGAATGTTGGCTAGGAAATTAACACTTTCTGAATGTCCATTATATAACAGGCACCACTGAATGTTATCTCATTTAAACACTACAACAACCACCAGAATGTAAGCTCCGTGACAGCAGAGGTCCCACTTTGTCTTTCTTACCACTCTAATTTCAACATCAAGAATGTGACCAGGACATAATAGGCACACAATAAATATTTACTGAAAAAATGAGTGGAATGATCTTATAAGATGACATTTTTAGTCCCTTTCTAGAGTGAAAACAAAGATCAAAGAGAAAAGGTGACTTGCTTAGAATTATACAGAAAGTAGTACAGTAGTACAGAAAGTAGTAGAGCTGGGATTTGATCTAAGGTTTGTTTGACTGATATATTAAAGTATTAGTCCCCTTTAACTTGACTTACAAAGCCTTATATGACATGATTGTCCCAGCCTACTTCTTCTGTTACATACCACTGAGGTCAAAGATCCAACCAGCACAAATTCCTTCAGGTTGCTGAAGGTTCTTCTGTAGTTTCTCCCAGTTACCAGCTTTTAATCCAGCACCTTCATCAGAGTCAGTTTAGGTGTCTCTTCTCTTTGTTCCCCCAGGTTTGGTGCACTCTGTTATATACATCTATAGCATCCCATGTTCCCCACCATAATTATATTTTCCTATTTAAATATAGGAAAAGAGCGGTGGTTAAGAAGAGGAACTCTGAAAGTAGGATATTAAGGTTCAGATCCAGTCTCTACCACTTCTAGAACCTGTGGGGCATCTGAGAGAAGACGATCTAGGCCACTAAATATGTACAAATCTCTGGCTTAAGAACAAGATCTAAGCTGGAGAAAGAGATTTAGGTGTTATCAGCATTTGGAGGTGGTAGAAACTATTAACATGTGTGAGCTTTTCCATAGATTGCATGTGGCATGAGAGGAAAAGAATGTTGAGGATAGGGCCCAGGGGAAAAACACTTCTTAAAGGTTGGGGAAGAAATAATTTAGAGTGGAGAAAGAGAAGTGGTGGAGTTAGTTATTAAAAAAAAAAAAAAGATTGGTCACAAGTTAGTGATTGCTGAAACTGGACAATGGATACACAGAGAATCACTGTCCTATACTTTAGTTCTGTATGTTGGCTTCTGTTTGAAATT